ATTCGAAATTCGAATTCAATAAACTTTTTTGTGGCCAGCGTTCTAAAAGAAAAGTTTTTAGTGTTGTTTTTTTTTATAGGATCGGGTGACAAACGAGCACACAGTCCACCTGATGGTAAGTGGTTACTGTGACCCATAGACATCTACATCTATCCTCAATAAAGACTCAAGATGCAGATGCGTTGTCACCCGTGAGGACTAAGATGAAATGCCTCTTTGCCAGTAAAAAGGGTCTCCGGTTCTCTACACTCACCATACGAAACACAGCAGCGTTAAGCTGCTATTTTACGCTGGTTTTCTGTGAGAGCGTGGTCCTTCCCCGTTCGAGCTGACCCATTCGTGCTACAACCATAATATAGCTGCAGCATGGCTCTACCACGTATAAGTGTGACAATACTTATGACCTGACTAGGTATATATATATAGCAAATAGAGCCAGCACGAATGGGTCGGTTCGACCGGGGTAGGACCACGCTCTCATAGAATATTAGCGTAAAATAGCATCTAAATTTTGATTCTTAATTGAGGATAAACGAAGGTGTCAATGGGCCAAAGCATCCGTTTACAAAAAAATAAAAGAAAACGAATTCAAAACTTAAGAAAATTTAAACGGAAATTCGGTTGCATCCTGTAGTGATAGCATAATGGAATCCATCATCCAATCCAACCGCGTAGACGCCGAATTTATCTGGTATATAAATTAAATGTAAGTTATCCAAATGAACGAATGAAATAAGCGCTAAAGTTGTTAGACATCTAATTCTGCGCTCGCCAATCCGCCTGTCAAGAATGGCAAATCCTTATTATAAAAGAGACCTGATTAAAATATGATTGTTTTATCCCTAAGTAAGTAAGGGTAGGAAATCTTTGACCTTTTGATATTCCTCTGTCCACTTAATGTGAAGGGCGGAAGGAAAGGCTTAAAAAAAGAAGACTATTAATTTTAAAAAAAAACAATAGCCGATATAAAAGGTTTTCAATGACTTCTTAATCTATTATGTGGATTTTTTCTTAAATAAGTCTTTTCTATATTTAACTGCTTGTGGGCTGATAAGTGTCAGTATGAAGAGAGAATAATCAAACAATCTTCACCCTCGTTTTATATGAGATAGCATAGTCAGGAGTGATCAAGCCTAGTCCTCGTAGGACCTTAAGCTATAGAACAAAGACAATTTCATAGAAATCGGCTTTGCAGTTTTCATGTAATGCACGTGCAAGCAAAGAAACTTCAAATTTTTAACCTCAATTCCTTAATAATTTTTTGTTTAGATTATGATGTATATACTCGACCCTATTAAGGGTTTTATAAAAATACAAAGTATGTATAAAATGTAATGAAAATACAAAGTAAAAGTAAAGTTATAAGTTTAGTTTATAAGTAAAGTCTACATACGTTCCACTGCTGGGAAGAAAATGTCCGCCGCGCTACCCGAATGCGAGTTGGCTAACTTCAAATGACTATGAATTTTTTTAAATTTCTCACGCATGCAGGTTTTAGCATTGTTTTCCTACACCGCTGTGAGCCGTGAATCTGCACTTAAAATCGAAATTAACAATTTCAGTGGTGCCTGATAAAAGCTCAAGAGGGTACCCTGGCTGGAGATAGAACCCGTAGTGCTCGGGTATTGAAATGTTACACCTCGTAATTATCCCCTGAGCTACCATGGCTCTAATGGAAATATACAATAAAGATACTTCAAGTTTATTTGAATCTTTTCAATTTAATTTAATCATAGTGGCTTCGACCAAAATATGTTTAACATGTCACTAGTGAACAAGGTTCGCCATAATAATGAAAGTGGAAATAGAGAAAATTTCTAGGGTGCTTTGGCTTAGAAGTCACTTCTAAAATACTTTATATTTTAATATGCATTCATATTTCACGAGAATATTCTACAATATTATGTGTGGGAGGATCGGCGTAGGCGTAACCTAAAGCTTATAAGTACTTGTATTTTCTATCGGAAAGTTAGCCTCTAGATTCGTATTGCAATGGCATAAATACTCAGTAAGTCATAAAAGTTTTATATTGCTGCCCCTTCTATTCTATTTGACGAGAGTGTACACACGAAATAAAATTAAACACAATGCTAAATTATTATGTTAAATTGTTAACATGGTATTTAAGGGTGTTTTATTATGTACATACGTTTAATCTTTATTAGGTTATCTGTTTTACTCTATATACAATACTACACTACCTGCTCTCTAATTTCTATTTGCTCAAGTGTTAATGGAATAGAACATTTATTAAGCTCAAGTTCACCCTTCCTCATTTTACTTACATATTTATATTTTAAATACTTTACTTATATATTTATATTCTAAAAAAGTTATATAATCATTATTTATTAAATAGGTTTTGTGTGTGAGATAAACAATATATAAACCAGTTCCACTTCCAAATTAAAATATTTTTGAATATATTTTTTTTAATTATGTTACACGTACCGTCATCAACATATTTAATCAAATTGAATAGAGTCCTTAAACACAAAAATCTCTGTTATATTTATTTATTATATTATATTCATATGTTATTACTACATTAACAATCATAAACCAGTGCTTGATTACTATACTATCTGATGGTTATATAATAAGATATAAGATGCTAAATCGCACCAAAACCGTATTCCTTATTGCCTTCAAGTCAACTAAAATAAATTTAAAATATGTTTCGAACATAGGTCTAGTACTGCCTAGTTTTTTGACAAGGGTGTCTAATCGGGCCCTTAGAAACTATTACGTGCATAAAAATTACAGTTTTATTTATTTCCTGGTGATCCATAACACAGGCTTCCGCCTAGTACAGACACCAGACACTCAGCCTATAGTGTACATTGTTTATAATCTACCTTGTAAACTTAAATTGTGAGAGTAAATAAATATATTATTATTATTAATTAATTAATTATTATTTTTTTCCTAAAAGTAATGTACACGTTTTTATACCACCCACAAATAGCCAAAGAAAAAATTACTTTATCGCAAGCGTATTAGAGTACATTTTATTACCAAACATTGCTTTAAGAGATACTTTAAAGAGGAACTTAAAGAAAAACTTGACATACATTCGAAGAACCGCTTTTTCTTTATTTGGCATAGCCGAAGTCTTGCGCATTAAAGCTTTGCCTAAAATGCCAACCTTGACAACTTGTATGAGCTCATGATTTGAGGATTGTTACGCTGTACATCATCATGTAGTTTAGTTCATCACCGACGTATACTATTTTAATCATGAAGTTAAATTTATTATGTATGCTTTATATTTAGTGATATTATATTCATCACCGTAAACCACTTTTGAACCAACAACTTTTTTTAAGGCTAAATCTGTACCATGTTTTCTTTGGTTTTTTATGTTTGTTATATTTGTTTTTATACAATAAAAGACAAAAGAGCACATAGTCTACCTGACGGAAAGTGGGTGCTGTAGCCCATAGACATCTACATCTATCCTGATAAGAATCAAGCGTTATCACTCCCAAGAACTAAGTTGGAATGCCTCGTTTACAGCAAAAAGGCTCACTGGTTTTCTAAACTCACCATACGAAACACAGCAGAATTAAAGTGCTATTTTACGCCTGTGTTCTGTGAGAGCGTGGTTCTTACTGGTTGGGCCAACCCAGTCGTGCTAAAATCAAAATAATATAAACCGTAAAATATTTTGCTGGATAGTGGACACATAATAGACAATATTAATAAATTTGGAATGTTTCTATTTTAAAAATACTAATGTATAGAAAAAACAGTGATATAACATTGGAAGGTTAGTAAGCATCGTAAAAAAAAACCTTCTGGCCCAAAAAGAAACCAGAGCAATATATTTATATACAGATACGCCACCAGTATATCATCTTAAACATATGTTTACCTAAAGCCTTGCCGCTGAAGTTGTCGTGAGTACCTTAAAGTGCACAGACAAATATCTCAAATACATACATTATTTAAATTCAAATATTCATTGTATATAAAACATTTTAATTAAGTACATCATAAAAGCGCCTTATTTGCAGTTGAAAGATTTTCTTGTTCTACTTATTCCCTATTAAATATAATAGTCAATAATTTCAAGACTACACGTTAACAGGCGAGTTTTCTTACACCCCAATAGACATAAATTTTATCATGCTTCGTCAAAATTTTAAATTTAGAGCAGTACATTTCGCGTTGACTAATTATCGACGCCCATTCAATACTTGCTACCAGAAGTAAACTCGTCAATGTACGCAACTTATGACGTAAACGCCATGATTCGGCCAGGAGCTCGAGAGCGTAGAAATATCGCAGCGCGCAGCGAGAATCGATCGAATGCGCGCGCATCTCTACCATCCTGGCTTCAGTACAGAACTGAGCCACCATTCGAAAATTAAATCCGTAAGAAATGAACGAAACTCGCGAAAAGTGAATGAAAAAAAATATAAATTCGTTGGTGCTTGTGATTATTGATTCTGTGAAGAATCAAAACAAGGTTAGTTGCTTGCGAAATAATTTGTCGCAGTTGACCCTGTGCAGCTCTTAAAGCATGTAGTTCTCATTTTTATTTGCTAAGTACTTTTGCAGTTTTAGACAAGGACGAAGGTATTATAGTCCAAGAACACAATGCAAGTAACAATATTTGAATCTATAAAGAGACATTAAATGTTTGATTTCGCACATATCTATTATTCGTTAAAATCGTTCTATAGTTTAAATTCCTATGTCTGTACCACCCACCCACTTCCTTGTCCACTGTTAAAATTCAGAATTCGTATTTTGGAATGAATTATTTATTCAGATCATTAAAATAAAAATACTTAAAATTGTAACAAATTATCTATTAATCTTTTAAAATCTAAAATCCTGTTGATATCACGAAAATATCCTTAAAACATTGCAGGGATTTTGAAATAAATCAATACTGTATTAAATAAAATTAAAAAATATAAAATTAAAAATTACAACATAGTGTCCTTATAGTTGTAAAATCAACTTATAACTTCTTGATAACAGATAATATGTCGCCATTACGGGGAGCAATGCTGCGATGGCGCCGCCAAGCGGAGAATCAGACTACCACCATGAAGTCCAGCCCAGCATCTGTCGTCAATGCATCAAGTAATATTTTTATATTCATATTTTTTTTTCTAATTTAAATTAGGTATTCTAAAATTTAGTAATACATCGTCAATAGACATATCTTTATAAACGATCTAAGATAGACCTGTGCTAGTATTACAAATCTGGCATACGTGGACTATTACGGAGGTATACTTCCAAGGAATACAGACGATTATTACTATTTTCGCCTAGATTTTAAGGCACTTTTCTCTGTAAAATAAAACGGATGGTCTCTTTTTAAACTAACGGTTTACAGGAGATTTAATTGGAAACTCTACATCAGTTATCGTACTCAACAGACCTTGCTTCTACTTTTTATTTATTTATTGGGGAAAATTTCAACTCCACACAACGAATTTCAGGATTCCTAACGACCAGACATTAATGGCCCATTAATGCTTCTGCATGTAATTCCATTACGAAATCGTTTTAATTTTTATAGTAAACATATGAGCCATATCGTTACAGAATATTAAAGTCAAGTAAAGGGATATTTGACATAGTTGCCAACAACAGTTATTCATTTTATTTGTTACTAGCTGGCCAGGCAGATGTTGTTCTGCCCTTTTTGACGACTTTTCATATAAAAAATTCTTAAATTCGTAATAAAACAATATTGAGGGTCACTTATCAAGATAAAAACTATCCTATCTCTAAAGTTGGACCAAACTGCACAGTGTGCAAAATTTCATTGAAATCAGTTCAGTAGTTTAGGCGTTCATCGCGGACAAACAACGTGACACGTAATTTTTATATATAAAGATTAGGAAGACGCAGCTCATTTGTTTTCCTCTGTCACCTCTTACGACACCCACGGAATGATATGGGGTAGTGGATATTATTACACCGCCGCTATCCGGACGTACTCGTATGAACCATAATTATGTTTTAAATAATAATATCTTTATGAAACATAAAACTTATGTAATGTATATTTTTTCATAAGGTATGCAAGTGTTAAAGTATGTCAAGCAATAGCATTATATTATACTTGGCAATCAAGACCTAAAAAAAATTAAGAACCATAATTTTTTTTATCAATTAATAAACATTAAAAAATTTTGATTCCTTGTTTTGTTTATGAAAACGATGTTATCATAAATAATGATCATTTGTTTACAATTACAGATTGTTGATTTTTAGAGATCAGTATTTATCTTATTCATATCAGAAAATCGTATCAAAATAGGGTCATAAATTTTTTCAAAATAATCTCGATTAAAACCTTTTTTTTTTCTTAGCATTAGCACCCGCATCTTCAGCTGTCCCTGGAACAGAACCAACTGTTGCAGTAATAACAACTACTACGGAATCAGCAGCTGAAAAAATGGCAGCCGAAGTCGCTCACAAACTGAACATGGAAACCTGGCAGCTAGTAGCTATACTAGTTGGTAAGACCTCTCATTCTTCTTTATTCTTTTTGTAGATTATGATATTGAACAGATTTTTAAACAGTTCTTAATTTAATAAGAAGTTTTGATTTTGACTTTAATTCTTAAACCACCAATGTAAACATAATGATTTCTTATATTTACGCGAACACTACACATTGAATTAAACTACTTTTACGGATTTTATCGCGTTTAATTAACTTATTTTTATATTCCCGACGTTTCGGTTGCTTTCCAGTCCCCCGTGACCACGGTTGCTGGAAAGCAACCGAAACGTCGGGAATATAAAAATAAGTTAATTAAACGCGATACAATCCGTAAAAGTAGTTTAATTCAACACCAATATTGATTCTCAGTAAAGTACGGAAGACTGAACTAAAGAGTATTAAAAATACATGTGGAACACTCGGTCGGAACGAAGTTGATTTCTTGGTATATTATAATTGATAAACGTATTATATTATTAATTAACAAATACAAATAAATTAATTACCAGCGTCTATTAAAATGAAGCGTCATTTAAAATAATATATGTTCCATGGCAAAATAAGAAAAAGTGCGAGAGAGATGAATACTATTCCATCACGCTCGTACTATAGAAAGGAAAATCATACATTTTTTCTCGCCTAGCCCCCATCCGCCAAATTCGTACCGTGTTATAAGGAACTTCGTTCCAAAAGTTCGTTCCAATGAAATAAAAAATAAAAAAAGGAAACGCTGTGGATAATAATACGTAGATTGTATATTGTGCTTTAATCAATAATTAATAATGTGTCAGGATCAACAGGGTCTATATAGACTGGTTTGCTATTCAAAAAATTGTCAGTCAGAATTGTGTAGACGTGTAGTTCCCAATGGCTGTTCAATCTATTCATGTACAGTCGTTTGAAAACTCTGAAAATTGAAGAATGTGGATTGATAATGGGTGATATAACCATAAAATGCCTTTTGTACGCTGACCAGCTGCATATATGGTTACATTAATGAACGTATCATTAAAAGAAAGAAAATTTAAAGAGAACACGGGTAAGGTGAAGTGGTTTGAGCTAGTGGATGAGCTTGTGTATTTATCAGGGATAGCAGACATGACAAGTATATAGAACGAAGAGTAAATGCAACATTTAGAGTAAATAGGGCTCTTCACTCTACTGTGGAAATGTATATGTGTTGATAGAGACACGTATGACATTTTACAATGCTATGCTGTGGTAAATAAGGTAACTTATTTTCCTTATTGTACCTTACCTTAGCTAATTAAATGTATGATGGTGAAAGTTGGGTCTAACAGAAAAAACACGAGATTGAAATTAATTCTGTAGAAATGTGGTCATTGAGATGATGGGCTAAATGTTACCGTAAAAAAGTGTGTGGTAAGAGAAAAATGATGTTTCGACCAGAATTGTGAAAGGAATACTTCGGTGATTTATATACGTAGAAAAACGAATTAGGAAAAAGTTACAAAACAAACATAAGCTGCAGATTTGAGTGACAGAGTCTGCAAGGGAAGCCCTATTGGCAATATATTGAAGATCGGCCAAGCTTAGGCCGATGAGTATGTATAGATACGTGGGTTGGATATGGATGTGGAAGTAGCGAAAGAGATTATCAGGATCGTGCCAAATGTAAAACTATATAGGTCTTGCCTTTTCGTGAGAATTTGTATACATTATGTAAAAATATAACCTCCATATTCATGTAAAGTACTTAGTTTTAATTTTTAATTCAAAGTATAGATTGTATTATTGCCCCAATTAATATTCGTGCAATAAGTAAAACATACTCATTATTGAAAACGACATAAAAACTGTTGAAAGCTGATATATATAAGGCTCCTAAAATTTAAAAAAAAACACGTGTAATTCCGAAGTAGGCGCGTTAATAACTAACAATAACAAGTTCGTTCATAGTTATAATACATTATATGTATCTAGGTGAAGCGTGTGATTGGTCGAGGCTAAAATTTCACGTCATGAGTACTGCTGCCCATTAGTTGAATATGAATCTGCAAAGATGTGACGCCGATTAAATCTTCTCTAAGAATTTCATACAGTATTTCAACAAGGACAAAAAGCTTTTTTTAATTTTAAAAAACATAACTGCAACTATGACCGGTTTCTATTTTAATGTTAAAGCTGATTATATCTCAGCTTAACTTCAAGAACGCTAATTTTAAAACTGTGTATCTGAATGAATGTCGCGTATCATGCAGTATGTACAGTACTATAACTTAATGATTTCTTATAGTATTTTGCGAATGGTCCATAATATCGCATAATATAATAATTGTTTTCCTGCCTCGTGACCAAGGCGTCTGTAAAGATCCAGCAATGAAAAGTAGTTAAAATTAACAGCGATAAAGTTCGTAAAATTTGCTTCTAGGTATTTTCACTTTCTTCCGCAAATATTCTGGTCCTGTCGCCGAAAACTTCATATACCTTTTTCACAAAACTGAAAGAGTTGTAGGGAAGTGGGTTCTACCAAAACTTCTTGATAGCACACCCTTTACCCAACCTTGATTAATGCTGCAAACATATTATGGTTGATGGCTCACTTTTGAAGCGTCTTGAAAACATACGGTTCCAAACCTACTTGGTGCCAAGCAATTACCGCAATTCTGATTACTTTCATTTTAAATTATTTATGACCAGACTAGTAACACAATAATATATATTAAGAATGCACTTCAAATATAAAATGCATAACTTTAATTATGATTATTTTATTAGGTGTGGGCGTGATTATCCTCGTTATTTGCTTCTGTTGCATTCGACGATGTTTCCGTAAGCGGCGGTCGAAGGATGGCAAAAAGGGCATGAAAGGTGTCGACTTCAAGTCCGTCCAACTCTTGGGGTCAGCATATAAGGAGAAGGTAATGATATCTCTTTCAAAAATTATAACAGGTAAATCTCTTGTCATTAATTATCTCTTACCATCAATATTTATTCCAGTGGTATAATTTACAATTTTCATAAAATGAGATCAAATGGACTTAGTTTGAAACAATTCAATACACACCATCGAATAACTTTCTAATTATTTAATTATTTTTCTTCCCTTTTTCTATTTCGTGAATATTTCCCTACAACTAAACGTATGCAGACTGAATCGGTATTTTTACTTATTATATAATATAAGTATGTCATAAAATTAAAGCTTGCAATAATACCGTTACCATTGCAGCCTGTCAAAAGTCTACTGCTGTAAATAGCCATAGATTTTCTGACAGACGTTTTGGCAACCGCAGTTTAATATTTTTAGCTGTTAGTGGGAAGGTGTTGTTGTCCATTCTTGATTTGTTTTCCTCTGTCGCCTCTTACAACAGCAACGCGATGATAATATGGGGTTGTCAAATGTTATTTACACACGCACTTTAATTAAAAAAATTCTTTAACCGAAAATCCGTGTCGTTTTAAATATACGCTTCGCTACGTGTATGCTGTGGATGAGTCTTACAGGAATGAGAACTCCAAAGGACAGCTGAGCTAACAGAAGGGCTATATCTGATAATTCTATATGTGTGTATCCAGGAGGAACCTTTTTCTTAGAAGGATATGATGATGGTTTGAGTACATGACTGTTTTTTGGAAAAACAAGAAACTTTATATAAAGAAGAAAAAATTAATCTATAGTAATAGCAATCCAAACTTTTGAAGAGTTTATTGATGCTCGTTCCAAACATTTCCCAGGAGTTCCTTTACAATATGGATCAATGTTTCGATCTCAGACTAATAAAGAAAGCTGACGCTGGAAACACGAATAAAACCATGCTGAATTTATTATAAGATCACGCCCTCACACATCAGCAATTAACTTTTACGGACCGTGAAAAGAAAGAAATAATAAAGACGTATGCTTTAGTGCATTTCAAGAAGTTGATTATGGTATCCACGTCGCTTGATTCGCTCCGTCTATATTTCTTAGTTAGTCTGAGATTTCGAATAAAATAATACCTAAATTATATGATATTATATAATCTTGGTTCAACTGTACAAAACCTACAATTTTGAAGGTTCAACCTTTTATTAGGTGAGGGACAGAGAGGGCTTTTGTTGGCCTATTCATCAAATATTATACTGCGGAATTCGAGATACTATTTTTTGAATATAGTTTTAACGGTTAATTAGACTTGTAACACACGTGTTGCGTTTTTGTGAAATTTAACGATCTATTAACGATGTCTAAATGTTTTATGTAATTATATCACGTTATTTTCACATAAATTACCTAATTAGACCGTCACACAAGGAGGGAGAGAATGCGATTTCGCAGTGCCTAAGTATTTTAAATCCTTTCTTGCTCACTCAATATGTTTTAGCTGTAATAAGCCATTTTAGACTTATTTTCTATGTTGCCTCACTAAATGCCACTTAAAACAATTGCAAAAAACAAAATAGCTTAAAACTATCAGTCTTCGGGTCAACCCCTTCACAGGAAGTTGCCGCCCACACTCTTGTTTTACTCCTTCTTTAATTACCCCTTCACACAGCTGGATACTAAGAAATATTAGAGTGTTATTAATAAGAAAACGTTTTTAAGCTATGGGGTCCAAGCCTTCTCCCTCCTCATCAAAATCTATTGTAGTTTTTTTACAATCCTTCCAAAATCTTTTCTTGTACGAAAAAAATCATTCATTTCTAAGGTTTAATTTTTCTTTAGCTAAACTATATAGTAAAAGAGAACGATATAGGTCCTGTTTTCTCAACAATGAATAGTATGAACCTATTGCATGTAAGAAATTAGTTATTCACATAAAGTTTGCCGCGGGACGTGCATGTAGGTTCAGCCGGACATGGAGGAGCTTACAGAAAACGCAGAAGAACCCGACGACGGCGACTCTAAGAAAGAGGAACAGAAGCTAGGGAAACTACAATATAAGGTACGTAGCAATTTCAAGACATTGAGAACACGGAACCGGTGGAGATTTTGTAATAGCTACGTTTTGAATACATTTTTGATACACACACTTTTTCAATGAGGCTTACCACTTATATTTTTACTTTTCTGCCTAGTTAGTAGTCCATGTATTTAGTACGCCAAATAGCAGTGCATGTACTGCTGTGTTTTGTATTATATCTATATCTGAAGGATAGAGCCAGTATACATATATATTACAGACTCCGTGACTGACGGCTCCGTGGCGCAGTGGCTTAGCAATGAGTTGTTTCACTGGGGAGCGCGGGTTCGAATCCCGCAGGGAACAAGTATTTGTATGGCAACATTTATTTTATAAAAAAATTACAGAGTGTGAGGCATTTCTTCTTAGTTCTCAGTGGTAGCATTGTAGCCTTCAAATAGAATCAGGCGTTACTTTGCGGAAGTCCATTATATTAAAAATTGGTACAAAACGCGTACATCCGCTCGATAAAATAAAATAATGTGTCTTACCTAGTTTGAAGAGCACCTCCCGCCCTCCCTCAATTGCGTGCACTATCACCGTCACCACTAATCCCAGCACCACTACTCCCAACACCACTACACTAGGAAGGACACACCTTTGACGACAATACGACACGTGTTTCGCCTCTACACGAGGCATCTTCAGGTAATCTAGAATCCGCGGTGGCTGACCGCACGAAGTTAGTTGCAGCTGTAAATGGGCTGCAGCTATGTAATGTTTATAGCACGATTGGGTCGACTCGCCCGGGGAAGGACTACGCTCTCACAGAATGCCAGCGTAAAATAACAGATTAATACTACTATGTTTCGTATTATGAAAGTGAAGAATATCGGAGACCGTCTTACTTGTAACGAAGCATTCTATCTTATTCTTCGGGGGTAACAACAGATCTACATTTTAATTCTCAATATACTTTGGTGTCTGCCACTGCGTCCACTTACCATCAGATGGACTGTGTGCTCGTATGTCATCCTTATTCTTTAAAATAAACCACTAATTTAAGGTAAGAAATTATTTTTATTTCGTTCCTGTCTAAATTAAAATGATACCGCCTTTTCTTTATAATTTTTTTTATTTATTTTAATTGACACATGCATAAAAATCTTATGTGAAACGGGCACCTGAGTAATATATCAATATTTCAATATAATATTATTACTTCCCAGCTGGAGTACGATTTCAACAGTAACAGTCTATCCGTGACTGTAATACAAGCGGAAGAACTACCGGCTTTAGACATGGGTGGTACTTCAGATCCATATGTAAAGGTGTACCTCCTGCCCGATAAGAAGAAGAAATTCGAAACTAAAGTACATCGTAAAACTTTGAACCCTGTATTCAACGAGACTTTTGTGTTCAAGGTAATCCATATATTTTGAAAATCCAAATCGATACCTATACAAATGTTGTTAATAGTGAAAATAAAATCACTTGTTCTAGTTAATATGTTTGGTATATAAACATTTTTCAAGCGTCATATTTAATAGGGTATGTCCATCCTTCTTAAAATAATACAATAATTTAATGGCATAAGATAAATACTACATTTAAAAGGAATTTTTGACATTTTGCACTTTAGACAAATGATTTTGAGCTTTGAGGCTATGATCAAAAATATCTTTCAAGAATAAAAAATCGATTTTAAAATTTAAGGCTAAGATTGCAATTAACAATACAGTTATTCTCAGTACTTAATATTTTTGATTTAGAACGTACCCTACGCCGACGCAATGAATAAAACACTAGTGTTCGCCATATTCGACTTCGACCGATTCTCCAAACACGACCAAATTGGCGAGGTGAAGGTACCACTATGCCAGGTTGACCTGGCGCAGACTATCGAAGAATGGCGTGAGTTGCAGAGCGTTGAAGGAGAAGGTGGACAGGTGCGATACAAAAACAAAGAGAAAATAAAATATTTTTTACTCAAAGTTAAATATTTTATCAAAAAAAAACCTTATAATGTACCTTTTAATACATTTTTTATTTTTCTAATTCTTACTCTGCGCCAGTTGACTTCTTGTGGGAAAAGTCAACACAGTATCATCTGCTTGTTATCACGATTTGCTTATTTTAAATAAATATGTAAATATTTTAGGCAAATAATACAAAAGTATTTCTTTTCAGTGATAATGATTTCAGCAATGTGATAAAATTTAAATCTTGTAAAATATTTTGTTATTATAGGTTTTAGGTACTGATGGCAGCATAGTAATTTTCACCACATGTTAATTTACGAGTTACTTTATTTATAGGGACTTAAACCTTATAATTTTAATTTTAAACATACAATTGATAAATCTAATTACACATAACGTTTAGGCGTCTTTTAAGAATGTTTAAAAATAATAAATTTAAATTATATATTCAAATTTCAAAAGCATTCATACAAGTGTTAACTACAAACAAATGTGTTAACAATTGACGGACACCCAGGTCACATCAACAATTTCTTTTAGTTTAATTACACAAAATATTAAATAAGTACATAATGGTAGATAAGTATACTTACATGATCTCATGCACAGTATTAGTAATAAGGCAACAAAAGCAACGAAAGACATAGAAGCGCAAAATCAACCAAGGAAACTATTTTCTTTTTTCTTAGCTTAGGCTAAACTGACAAAACACACCCACCAATACAATTTATTCTAGATACTTTCACATATCATGATTTTACATTATATTAATACAGACATACATTTTATAATCGATGGATTTGTTTTGGCAGAACAGCATTTTTTTTATAAATATACTATTCTTTCAAAAACAACAATATAGATAGTTATTGTAACAAATTATCTTTGTTATTTGTATGTTTTTTAAAAGGAATAAAATCTTGAAATTTGAAAGAATGGTCAATTTTTTAAATTACTGCACTTTTTAATGCCGAGGGCTCTTGACAAAAGAGTTAAGTAAATTTTAAATTATTTTACTTTATATTAATCTTTTTTTTTTCACAAACGAATTCTCTTTATTTTCCCATCATGTCAAGAAACCTCCGTTGGATTGAGTCGTCATTGATTTTTCCAAAAAAGTTCGACGGCAAAAATGTATTTACTTGGTTTTTTCTCTTTTTCTCCATATTTTCTCTGCTCTGCTTGGCTGTGTTTGATTGTGTCCTGAACAATCTTGCATGCCGCTTCAAAACGAAATGATCATTCACGTAAGTATTATTTTGAGACACATCAAAATGTATAATATAAAATGTAAAATGAACACGTTTCATTGACGTTATAAATACACAATTTACTGGATCATACTTAGAAACATAATACCAAAAATACCATTCGTATTTCATCATTTGTGTAAATTACTAGGTTATAAATAGGTAGGTGTATTTTTGGACAATGGAACATGGCAGTTCCACAAATGAATATCTAAGATTTGGTCACCCTACCTTTTATCACCCATCATACCACAGGTTATTTTTTTATTTTTTACTCCATCCAACACTATTTTGTTTATATTGCGGCTGGGGAATGATGCATGCATGTCTTCACATTCCTATACATCATTTGAAATATCAGTTTCGATAATCATATTATATCAGAAATAACAATTTATGAAATAACTCATTTATAATATTTTTATAAGTACATATTGAAGAATCAAATGATATTTCAATTACGATGTCTAACTTAGCTATGCACATCAGTATTATCCGCATATTTCACGTTTTCAAACGCACTGATTTGAGCTATTGCATTTCGTTGTGTGTAACTTCTAACCAAAAACGCTAATAACATAGATAATCATTTTGTTGCATCTTAAAACGATTCATGGTTTATTTGGTTGTCAAAACTGTTTTACTTTGCATAGTAAAGAATAATAATATTGGATAGTAATTTCCATATTTGCCTCGATATCATTATAAAATCATAATTTTAGTAACTGCCTCATTATAAAATAATACATTTTTACTGAATTACAAGCAACAATATAATGATATGTATAAAATGTTTCATTAATCCGAAGTTATTTATGTACATACAATACATGAGATTAAAAGTATGTTGCAGATTGCCTTCTGATCGACGAAGAAGAAATATACCAGATAATAGTAACATCAATTTTATTTCTTAATAATATGATATAATATTATTATAACATTATATTAACGTCTGTCTAATTGTTGAGTGAATTTTGAGGAGCTCGCTTTTGAGATTATTATAAAGTCACTTGTAACTACATGAGTTGAAGTAATTGCAAGTTAATTATTTTATTCCGTGTTCATGGTTTAACATAAAGGTATGGGCTTAATACAATTTACTATATACAAACTGAGAAGAAAGTTTATGATTTGAAACAAGACAAATCATGTTATGCCACCAGCTATAGCATTTCACCCTGTAGTATTCCTTTTCATAGTGTGATGTACCTACCGACATTAATATATTTGTATTTGTACCTTGTAGTACCTACCTATTATGTCTCTCTATCCGCTAAAGAAGTTTAACCTACAGCTTACATTTATTTAATTTGTTTTAAAATTCAAATCCAAAAGATTTTCAATTATCTAAATTAATCAAAATAATGCTTAAATTAATTCGGATTTGAAACTTCTTTAAGGGATTTGTATTGACCCTGTAATAAATGTATCTATGTATGCTAGCTGCTGTTAGAACTGTTAGATAATTGCGATCTGTTCCTAAAATGGTTGGTCTAATTACAGACTAGGGAACATAGGTTAATTTTTAATTTACACTTATTCGTATACATAACATAGGTTTACTATAAGAGGGAAGACTATTAAAAGGATTGCCGCAAAGGTGAGCATACATTATTTCCATTTGATGATTTGAGCTGGGTGTTAAGGTGGAAAGATATTGGCTTCATTTCGGCAACAGATCGTAATGTTTCAAAAATCTATTACCAATATAATTTATATTCCAGCAGGAGACTGCTTTATAATAATTATGTATTAGGTTTGATGTGAACGTTGTTTTTTGGTTTATCCTATAGTATTTGTCACAAAGTTTACGTACCGTGTTTTATTTGATGTTTTAGATGGATTGGCGTCAATGTGCTAAAACGTTATATGTAACGCAATGGAAATGTTCCTCAGATGATACATTTTACAGTTGATTGACTAGATGCAAACTCCATCCTTATAAAGGCTACCTATATCTGAACACTTTCTCGGCTATGCCATCCTAAGCACAAGTATCTGCACAGTTTTTCGATTAAATAGGCATCGGCAGAATTTCAACAAAAATGAACATATCCGACATATTCATTAATAATTCGAAAATCTGTGCCGATATATTAACTACCCATAACAACGCTTTTAGGATACCTACACAAAGCTATTATTTGTTTTGTTTTGTTTTTAACTACAAATTATATGCCCTTTTCCGCCCTAAGCCGCGATTTGATTAACCGTGCAATATTTATATTTGTTACAATCAGCTTTTCCGTTCCAATTCTAAATGCTGTATTATCCTTACACTTTATCCTATTATCTCTCCGAAACTTTTCACTGTCCAAATATCCTACATACAAAAAAAATTAACACTAATACAATAAATACATATTATGTTTTTTGTCTACTTATAATAAACTAAAATATATTTCACAAATCACCACTGCTCAAGATAGAAAAGTTGTCCATTTAACAGTGTTTTATTACCGTAGCAAATCAATGAGTTGTAGGAATAAGGAGCTTTACACAAAAACTCATAAGCATATGAAATATAAATTGCAGGACAACAAGTTGGGAGACATTTGTTTCTCCTTGCGCTATGTGCCGACTGCTGGAAAACTTACTGTAGTCATATTGGAAGCGAAGAATCTAAAGAAAATGGATGTTGGTGGTCTATCAGGTAATATCTTTTTCTTACAAATGTATAGGAAACAAAAATATATACTTACAAGATTTTGAAAACAGAACTGATAACACTAATGTCTAATTTCAGGATCTTAGGGTAATTTCTATGTATTTGTTCTTTAGATTAAAGCTTGACATCACACTTTCTTTAACATATGCATGAGTAGAGAACATTGTTACTTTATTATCATAATTATATATATAAAGTAGGCTCGTACTCAATATTTTTTATCCACTTACGACCGATTTTACAAAATAAATAAAATTAATAGTTTATATAAAGTAAGTAGAGCATTTTATTTTATTATCATCATTAACTTACAACTTGTCAAATATTAACAATATTTGTAAAGTTGATAATTATTGATTCATTTACTGAAATACGTCTTTATAATGCCGAGAAAATTGTAATTTGTGTAATCGGTCGGATGGTAAATTAACCGACTATGTTTTATCTCCTATCTCTTTTTCCTAACGTTTTATTAATTAAATCTATTAAGTTACTGCATGTTATTCATTTGAAAATAATTAAAATAATTTATGAGTTATTCTAAATATAAAAATTACTTACTTCTCAATTATTGGGTTGGGGAATAAGTTCGTAGCGTTTTTATCAAGGGCTTTTATTTATACAAAAATCAATAGACAATAAATTAATAAATTATGCATTTGCCGTTGTTGTTTACGGTTCCACCTCTCGACCAATTTCAATCGATTTCGTTCCGTCAAAAATCGCCCAGTCCGGTATTGAAGTTGTTGAGCCAGTTTTTAAGGTCCTCTTAATTGTCAAAGGTACCGCCCCTCATGTGGTTCGACAGGGATCGGAAAAAATGGTAATCTGTCAGTGCAAGGTCCGGAGAAAACGGTGGATGCTGAAGGACCTCTCATTCGAGCTCTTAGAGGGTGGCTTTGACGACTTGTGCAACATGGGGCCTGGCGTTATAATGAATGAGTATGGTTTGGCCTTGTCGATGGGGTCTTTTCAGTCGAATATCGTCTTTCACGCGGTGTAATTGGGCTACGTAGAGCTCCTTGTTGACCGTGCATTGCTTTCAAGCATTTTCCAGTGCAGCATGCCTTACCAGTCTCACCAAACGCAGATCATGGTCTTCTTTGGATGGGGGTCAGGCTTGACTCTCGGCTTTGGCGTATCTGCTGCAGTCACCCAGTCCTTTCTTTGCTTCATATATATGTACAGGCACCACATCTTATCTCTCGTGACAATTCGGTACAAAAAGCGCTGTTTATGACCGCGTGTTGCTCGACGGTGGGCGAGATGTTGAGAAGTAATTAAAAGACAATTTTGTTATTTTCGTTTAGCTGGTGAGGTACCCAATCCTCCCAATGTTTCGGCAACTCCCATAGAATGAAGATGATTGAGAATTGTTTTATGATCTCGGTTCATTTTTTTCGGCCAATTCGCGACTTGTTTGGTGATCGTCTTCCTTCAAAATTGCTTTGAGATGCTCTTCGTCGAATTCATAAGGTCTTCAGCTGCGGGGCGACATCGACGTCAAACACGCCATTTTTGAAATTTGCAAACCATTTCCGCGCTGTACATTCGCCTGTGACACCTTATCCTACGTTGCAAACGTCCCGGGCTGCTTCAACAGCTTTTTGGCCTCGGTGAAAATCGAAGAAGAGTAGGTGTTGAAAATTTTGTTTTTTATCTCCTGGATATTCCATTTCTAAACCTAAAAAGTAACAAAAAATTAAATTACTCAAAAAGACGATTAACACAGTTTTGTAGAACAGAAAGAGCTCTATCGAATGAATATTAAACACTTTGTCAAACAGCAAAAAAATATCGTTGTACAACAAAAGAAAATATAAAAACGCTAGGAACTTATTTCCCAACATCTTCAGTATAATTTTATAGAGATAATTAAGAAGTGTTTACGTAAATATGAATATATAAGTTACAATAAAATCACTTTCTCCAATAAACCGCTTTGCACCGACGAAAACAGTGAAAGCATTTTTGGCTAGAGTTTGGTCAAAATTTGTTTTGAATTAAAATATTAGGTTTAGTTTGAAAAGTATATGAAGTCGTTTCGACCAGGACTTAAAGTGTTTGATATCTTACAAAATGGCCAATCGATTTTAAGAAAAACGAGTTTTTCCTAAGCTAAACTAGTTTTTCATAAGACCAGCAGGATCAACTAAACACCCTCGGCTTTGGGGAGACCACCCCAGCCGTACTTCAATCCACTGTTACATTTTCAAATATATCAGTAGTATAATATCAGTGACACTGAAACTGAACACTGTGACAGTGAAACTGAAAGAAAGTTTTAAAGGCATAGAAGAGATAAGCGTGATTGATTTGTGGGCGACATTTAAAAAAGGGGTCGTGAATGTTGCTGTCAGGAGTCAAGATGGGAGCATTATAAAAGAAGAAAAATGTGTGTTAAAGAGATGGAAAGAGTATTTTGAAAGTTTGTTTGAAAGAGAGGAAGTGCAGGTACAGCATCTGGCACCCTCCATGGAAACTAATATAAATGTTGATGAAAGTGAGATAAGCATGGATGAAATAGTGAAAGCGCTGAACAGTATGAGATTAGATTAGATTATCGACAGTAATCCTGTCATACCATGCAGTCTTACTGCATGGTATGACAGGATTACTGTCGAGTTGCTGAGGGCTGGACAGGGCATAGTGGCTAGTCAGCTGTACCGCCTTTTCAATTTGTGCTGGCGAAATGGGCAAGTACCGGGAAACTGGTGCAAAGCCGTAATCGTGCCATTGTATAAGGGAAAAGGGTCACGGCAGGACTGCATAAATTACTGCGGTATAAGCCTTCTCAGAGTCGTCGGTAAATTGTATGCGAAAGTGATGATTGAAAGGGTTGTGAATAAAACAGACGGAAAATTATGGGATGCACAAGCGTGATTTAGAAAGGGAATGGGATGTACGGATCAGGACTTTTCCTTGTGGTGCATAGCCGAAAAGTGCTAAAAACAAGAAGGTCTATTGCGCGGTCGTGGATCTAGAAAAGGCCTATGATACAGTGGTGAGGAATGAATTGCGGTCAGCACTGTCCGTGAACGGTGTGAGCAGTATCCTCATACGAGCATTGCAATCTTTTTATAGGGATTCTAGTGCTTGTGTAAGGATCATCGGGGCATAGACTGAATGATTTAATATCGAAAAAGGTGTTAGACAGGGATATGTAGCGTCACCGTGGCTGTTTAATCTGTTCATGGACAATTGCTTGAGAATTGCAATGGGTTGAGAATTATAATTAGACTTACTCATCAAATGTTTTCTCTATACTGATGACCAAGTACTACTTGCGTCTTCGACCGAGGAGTTGCAGGAGATGGTAACTGCTATGAGTGGAGCTTTTGTTAGAAAGGGAATGAAGTTGAATGTAAAGAAGACAAAAGTGATGGTGTTTGAAAGAGATGAGGCAGAGACAGACTGCAATATCGTGATTGGAGATGAACAAATTGAACAGGTGAAAGAGTTTATGTATCTGGGTTCAAAGTTTACGAGAGATGGAAAGTGTGAGAGTGATATCGAAAGAAGAGTGAATGCAGGAAACATGGTGAATGGAGCTTTGCACTCCTTTATGAGCAGTCGGAAGGTGTCTAACAAGGCTCGTTTGGCTGTGCATGAGGGGGTGTTGGTTCCGACACTCATGTACGAAAGTGAAAGTTGGGTATAGCAGAAGAAACTTGAAAGCAGAATAAATGTAGTTGAGATGAGAGCGTTAAGAAGTATGATAGGAGTTAAACTGAGTGACAGGATAAGAAATAGTGAGATAAGGAAACGTTGTGGTCTGAAAGAAGATGTAGTGACAAAAATTGAGAAAGGTATGCTGAGATGGTTTGGCCATGTCGAGAGAATGAATGAAGAACGATTAACTAAAAAGGTGTATAAGGCGAGTGTGAATGAAAGTGTTGGAAGGGGTAGATCTAGGTGGACGTTTCTAGATCAAATCAGGGACGTCTTGAAAAAAGGCCAGGTTAAGAGTACCCTAAACCGAAGAGCATGTATGAAGAGAATAATGAAAGTGGACGAAGCGAAACAAGTATGTAGAGATCGTAGCAAGTGGAAAGAAGTGGTCTATGCCTATCCCTACGGGAAAGAGGCGTGATTATATGTATGTATGTAATATTAGTGACAATAGGTTGAGGGATTTCGTACATCATTAAGTTGGTAACATCTAGTTAATCCTGTTGAGCTTAAGAAAATGTAGTTTAGCCTAGGGAAAACTACATTGTCATAAAATCGGGGTTGGCGGGTAAAAAAATGCTTTTGACTGTAGACCAAAACTACTTTTGAATGAATATACATATCCCACGACACATCGCTGCTTCTGACATATATTTCATACTACATACATACATAAAACACACATCTGGGTGAAAAGCTAAATAATTTGTGATTTCAAGTTATCCATGAATTTGTAAAGGTTATATTAACACAACAATTTAACATGGCAATATCATTTTACATCTTTAAATTTGATAAATTGTCTTATGCTAATGGATAATCATGATAGTTAGTGGTTCCACTTTAGTCTTTTATAACATCTCGATATTATAGTTTTTTTTTAATTATTATGTATATTGGTAGTCGTATGGTCATATCTTATAAACTTAGCCGCGTATTCCACGTGTTGTTAACAAAAGTATTGACGTCATACTATTTTCTTTGATATTATAATTAAATGCAATTCATAATACGTTTTATAATAAGTTAAACTATTTAGTTTTGTAGAACTTAGTACCTAAAATACATTTGCAATAACATCATAACATTACACATAATAATTCATTTTATTTTATAAACGATTAATGCTATTACTAATAAATTAACCATTTTTTTTCATATCCGGACGCATCGGTGTATGGCAACAGATCCGTACGTAAAGATAGCACTCATGCAAAACGGCAAACGCCTCAAGAAGAAGAAAACGAGCATCAAGAAATGCACACTGAATCCCTATTACAACGAGTCATTTACTTTTGAAGTACCATTCGAACAAATACAGGTGCGAGCCGAGATTAAAACAAAATTCAGTGTTACAGCGCATGCTATGGACTATTACTCGAATGCGGAAGGCACACAACTACGGCATATAATTGCCAAAGCTTTACATTATTTGACATAATCTGCTTCCGCTATTCAGAGTAACCTGTATCATGTGCGATTTGGTGTTGTGTACTAATTGTTGTTATTCTGAATGCATACCACCACTTATATCCAATCCCCATCCATTCCCGTATGAAATTGAAATTTTATCCCGACGTTTACTTTAAGTTATTTCTTTATCGCAAAAGCAGTCACTTATTTTTTTTGTTTTATACAAACCTTATTACAATGTAACATTGGTATAACTTATCACTTCTATTCAATTGGCTCCATTTCAAAATTTTCTTTTATTTCTCTTATCCAATTTACAGATGCTATGATTTCAGTAGATAACTACAACTTATTTTATATTTCCCAATTTTTTGCCTTGCCTAACTCATCCATCTCCTTTAAATTATATTTATCAAAGCAATACATTTTAGACTTGCTCATTATTGAATGTTGACCTTTAGCCGTAATAGCGCGTTACAGATAAAGGTTTTCATTTATTGGTGTAGTTCTAAGAGTGCATGCTTTGGTTCGTATAATAAATAAATCCGCAACGGTTCCGTACAAAGTGGTGTTTATTAATCTCCCCTCGTAACTGCATTACAATTTGGTGACTTCAAATTGTAATTACTTATGGTTTGAGGAATCCAGTCCCTCGTTCTTCTTCTACATTTCTTCAGCTATAATTTCATCTTTTTACATTTAGTTCCTTTCTGTAATCCTAGTAATTGTCTCATCCATTATTTTTATATTATCCTTAACACAAAAAATGGTAAGAAAATTATTATGTAAGTATTAACAATCGTATACACATATACGTTTTAAGTTTTAATTAGTGCAAGAATGTTTTGCTTGTAGTTTATTTAGCATGAACTTATTTGTATCATTAGATCACTAAATATGAACGTTAACATAAATATAAAAACTCTTGGTAAAAAGAAAGTTGAGATTACTCTGTACACATACAGTGTACAGAGTAGCCTCAACTTTCTCGCAACACATGTAGCTATGTAACTTCTTCACAATATTAATTATGCTAAGAATTCTTAGCATAATTAACGAAACTCTACACCGTAATAATAAGCTTTAATCATGTCTTTTAAGCACTCAAAAAGTATTAAAAGCATGCAAGCAAGCAAAAAAATAAAGCATTAAGTAGGAATAAAAACACGAAAGGTAACATAATTAGTAAAAACTTTCTTAAGTCGGATTACGTTTTAGAAACCGTACTCTTTTCTTTTGTCTTTGTTATCTTCTTCCCATTTCTGACCAATAAAACATTAATTATAAAATTTAAAAAAACGTGTATAAAAAAAGTTGAAGATCGAATACGAAAACTTTTTTATATACTTCAATTTTAAATATGTATTCACTTTAAAGCATGCTTAGCTAACGCAAGTAAAAAAAAAAGTAACAATATAAAATATTGAAAATTTCGTGCAAGTGTAATAAAGTTCCTTTAACGTTCATTTAGATGATTGTACTACCAAAAGGTTTTAGTTCTGTTTAAAACTTTTCAACACTCATAGTGTGTTCGCCTAAATTTCAAAGTGCGCGAGCAACAGTTCACCCAATGTGGCATCGTCGAAAACCAAAATAATAATTGGTGCGTCGTTACGGATCGTGTAACTTCTGAACGACTTGACCTATTAAGGTATCGTAGTATTATTATTTATTCTGTAGTTATGTTCTCACAAGCGTGATGTGAATCCGACACACAATGCTAAAATCCGACAGGACCAAAATTATATAATTTCACAATTGATTTAGTGCTAAAAATGTAAATCATGAAATCCGGACTCTATAAGTAACGCTGTAATCAGGTTATTAATAAATTTTATAATAACACTGTAAAAAAATCCGAAGTGAATTCTGAGTGAAACTCGTCGCGCCACCTAATAAAAAGGGCAGAGCAATTATGTCTGTGCAGCTAGATTATACGATTATAATAATAAATTGTATTATCAAATACGTATAATACGACGACATTTTTTAAAGACAAGGTTTTTTGAGACTATTACTTAACTTTTTACTAAGTAAAAATAAAATAAGGAAAAAAGTATACATAGGTAAGGAAAAATGTATAAATTACCTAGCAGCCTACTAGCACCCCACACGTTGGCACAAGCCTCCTCTCCTTCGCGCCAGAGTGTGTCTCAACGTTGGCAGACTTTTCTTGCTGTCGTAATATTTTTAATTTTTAAGACATGTAGAGTTGCTTGTAACCACGTCGTCCTTTAATACCGCTCTTCTCAAAATTGTTTAAACTAACAATTTCAGTGGTGCGGCGGCGATCTCATATCTCGAACTGTGTTTGCTCACGTACTTTAAAAATTTAAGGTGATCGCTTATACCCTGAAATGTCCCTCCTTGGAATATAAAATAAATATTTTAGAAAAAAGTGGAGTTCGTGAACAACATTTTAACAGCGTGACGGACTTTTCATTGCTGTTCATACTCTCAGCAACGCACCTATAATATTATAAAGTGGAATGTTTTATATTACTTTACCTTACTATGCTTCGAATTATTTTTATTTAAAATTAGAAATTCTTTACTGAACTAATTTATATTTACCAACATAGAAATAATTTTAAAACACACGTAAATACACCGTTAATTTCTAGTCTGCTATATTTTTAAATTAATGTAGTTATAGCATTTAAAATCCCTGCGTATAGTATTATGTAACGTTTTATACCTGACATAGATAAAAAATGTTTATCATATAACAAATAAAGTTCTCAGAACTCAAAGATTAAATGAAACTAATTTTTACGGATTTTATTCTGTTTAATTTAACCTTTTAATACTCGACGTTTCGGGTGCTTTACAGCACCCTTGGTCACGGGGTGGGACTGAGATGTTTGAAGACCAGATGTCATAGTTAGCGCGGCTACCTTCGTTTTTGAATATTAATTTTTGGTCCGATCTACGCAGACTGAGCTTATAGTATCTTGAAGTCTTTCAGTGGTATGCTTGCGTTTGGATTTAATTAAATTAATTATAGGATCCCAAGCAGATGGCAGCACCCATCCATTTTCTCTTTTAAATTAGGATGGTTTTTTTTTTTAATTTCTATAGCCTCGCGAATCAGCCTTGGTAGGAATTGGTGTTCTTTTGCGAGGATTTGTGGTCTATCAAATCTAATGTAATGACGGGGACGATCTTGAACATGTTCACACACCGCAGACTTCCCGGAACGTCAGTGCTTCAAATCAGCTATATGTTCTTTCACGCGAGTTTTTATAGACCTTTATTTTTTGCTATGTAAGCGAGACCACATTCACAATCCAGCTTGTACACTCCTGCATCTTGTAGAGGGATAATTATAACACTTGACGGATGGTAAAAATGACGGATGGTAATCTTCTTCGGCGGCTTGAAGTATGTTTTAATGGAATCTCGCTTCAAGATGTAGCCAACCTTATCTGTGACTCCTCTGACATAGGGTAGTACAGCAGGCACGCCCTCGACTGTGGTCATTTTCACTTGGTCACTGTGACGTAGCGCAGGACCCGAAGCTTGTTGTCTTGCAATACTTGCTCGACGTGCTGAAGCTCGGCGGCCAGATGTTTTCTGTCACAGATCCCTCGTGTTCTCTGAAACAAAGATTTTCCCACGGTAGCTAACTGTGATGGATGATGGTGCGATTCACCATTTGAATACCGGTTGGTATGGGTCTTTATACACAATGTGACCAATAGTGTTATCGGAATTTCTTTTTCATTCCCGACGGGTGCTTTAACCCGTAATTAAAAAGTTAAATTAAACGTGATCAAATCCATAAAAATTGGTTTCATTTAATGTGTAGTCTGCGCGTAAACATAAGAAATCATAATGAGAACTCAAAGATTTAAAAAATATATTTAGAAATTATGTTTGTTCTTTTTTTGTATGTACGACTATGTTACACGATATCTTCGACAATTGTGGAACGATTTAAATGATTATTTTCTTAAATAGGTTATATTTCAGGGGTGGTCTTATATAAATTTGAAAAACATATTTCACCCCTAAGAGTAAAATAAAATAGGGGGTGAAGATTTTGATTTAACTTTTTAGACGACATTCGTACTTTTGATATTCCTTAATCTACCTAAAGGGTAAAAATTAGACTTTTATATATTATAAACAGTAAAGCCGACTTAAAAAAAAACTAATGGAATAAAATAAATTCCGCATAATTGCTTCAGACCTCGAAGTCTCTAATACACACACATTACACAATAACTTAGCGACGACTTCACGAGATTTTTTGTGTTATTGTTTCATTTTTGTGTGATTGTAAAATATTGTTGCAAAATACAAATAAAACGAGTCCTCTTATTTTTATTTATAGGTAATTCTAAACACATTAAATAATTGGTACTTTTCAGTACGTTTTTAACGAATTTGTTCCTAAAATATAGGAAGGTATAATAAGCATAAATAGATAATATTATTTTTGAACCTAATTTAACAATAAAATTATAACAAAGATATAAATAGAGTTTAAATCAAAAGCAATTGATTAAGTATTCTATGTACTTGTTGTCAGGTATGAAACGTTAGAATATTTACATTCACACATTTCCAATATATAAAAAACAAGCCTAAGACCATATAAACTACATAATATCATTCTCAAATGGCAGTTTCATTGTAGTATTGTAGCTAACCAATGCTTGATCTCCTATGATAGAAATATTAATACATACTGTAACTCTAAACTACACTACAGAAAGTGAACCTAGTGGTAACGGTGGTTGACTACGATCGCATCGGCACTTCGGAACCTATTGGTAAGGTGGTCCTGGGCTACAACGCGTCGGGTACAGAACTACGTCACTGGTCAGACATGTTGGCTAGTCCGAGGCGCCCAATTGCGCAGTGGCACACACTCAAAGATCCTGATGATGGAGAGAAAAAGGATTAAGGAGAATAGCAAGGTGAGTGTTTCACTTAAATAGTTATATACAACACAATAAAAGAATATCAACTCAAGAAAAGAAACATTATTCTGGAATACTTTAGTTTAAAATTCTATTTTTTTTTTTTGTATCTACTTCTTTATTCTGCCTACTTCCAAAAAGGAGACGGTACTCAATTCGACGCGTATGTTTTTTTTTAAGTGTGTTACCTCATAACTTTTTACTGTATGAACCGATTTCGATGATTCTTTTTTTATATGAAAGCTGATACTTCCCATATGAATTTGATCAAGGTCAGACCAATAGTTTTTGAGTTAATTGAGTTATTCTTAATAACTTATACTGAAGTCGGCTGTACAAAATTTTTAATTTTTAATTATTTATGGGACAATACAAGATGCTACGTTTTCTGTATAGCGAAATATGGAGTGTTGTGCAGTGAAGACATATGTTACTAATAACAGCCAACATTTTCAAAATCATGAAACAGCGAAACATCTAGAAGTGCAATCGGCACTCCTCCAATAAAGCTTCATCCAGATTACAAATTCTCCCAACTCGGTTAAAATGTACGCCCAGCAAACCAGCAATGTAATTAATGTGTTTCGTCTTTTGTAAACGGCTTAAGAGAACCCACTGCCCTAAATTATGCCATGAGGATTGTAACAGGGGACTGAGGGAGACAGAAGAAGAGGACAGCATCATCTTCCTGATAACAATGCAATATTAATTAAAAGGACTGCTGATAGAAACCCGCCTGCCAAGCGTCGCAACTATGGCAAACATGGGGGATGGAGGATATAAAAAAAAATACAAGTGCATGTGGGTGACGCTGAAAGTCTTAACGGAGATTAGCCAGCACATCTCAGGATATAGTGCACGAGTGCACGCGAGCACAGGTGTACTCTCATTTCCGTCACTCTTATAGTAAGATGTAACGGTATACCGACACGACCGGAGAGGCGCAAGACGAACGGTTTGAAGTGCTTTCTGAGCACGGAGGTGAAACACCGCCAACTTTCTGACGCTGACGTTAAGCATTTTTTTTAAACTGACGCTTATTTGTAAAAACAAATTAAAACGAATTAAATTTTAACGTTTTTAAATAATTATTCGTCAATTTCTTAAAAAGGTCCATATTCCAAGGTTAATTATTTTTCATAAGCTTAGTTAAAAAAAAACTTTTTTTTTTAAATAGAATAAGGGTGACAAACGAGCACACAATCCACCTAATGGTAAGTGATTGCTGTGGCCCATAGACATCTACATCTATCCTCGATTACAAATCAAAATGCAGATGCATTGTCACCCGTGGGGACTAAGATGGAATGCCTCGTTTCCAGTAAAAGGGGTCTCCGGTTCTCTACGGTCACCATAAGAAACATAGCAGCATTAAGTTGCTATTTTACGCTGGTATTCTGTGAGAGCGTGGTCCTTCCCCGGTCGAGCCGACCCATTCGTACTATAACTATACTACTAATATAGCTGCAGCATGGCTCTACCACGTAAAACTTGCTTTCGTAAGTTCATTTTTATGTCGCCCCAGTATGCGCTGTCACAGCGTTACTTGTCTTAATCGCTCCGCACCCATAATAATGTAATAAGATCAAATCATAGTTGCTCGTATAATTTATTTCGTGTACATTAAAATTAAGATTTGAGCTCATCAGGTTATTAGCGTTACGAATAATTCACGTGTCCAAAACTCAAGGCCTAAAATTCTGTCATCAGTTACTCTGACCGGTCTCGTGGTTGTTAAATAATTATTAATTATAAGTTAATATGTTTAAATACTATAATTTCAGACTCACCGCGTCGCAGGCATATGGGGTGGATCTGAAGAACATACGCCTTCTCATTTATTAACTCATTTGCTGTACCAGTTTGGTTAAATTTAAACAAAAGTATTTTTGACGGTTTAATGTAGAATAGGCTACAAAATAGTTATTTTAAACGAGTTCTTTGTAAATGCTTAATCAATGTGATAGACGTGAAGGCAGTGGTATTGTTTTAAAATGAAATTTAGGTACTGTCCCTTATCAAAATACAAACTGTACATATTTTATTTGAATTATTCAATAGCACCAAAAAGCAAAAAAAAAAGTAACAAATGTATTTTCATGGTAAGAAGAGAACATTACAGATTTAGGTACATAATTTTTTCAAGTCATTACCACCTACTATAATTTTATTATTATTATTAGTTTATATTTTCATTGATCTGTTATTGATGTTTTGTTATTGCTTTGCCTCACCTCTTAGCTTCCATTTCTGTTAGGTAGCAAAATATTTACTTACTAATTTGTGATTTCAAAAATGTAAGCGCAGTTCAATTAATACCTGCTTTTGGTCAAAATTTAATGCAAGTTTATAAAGTGTGTAGATATATATAATACATAGATATTGTATAAAATACAGTGGTCGTTATTTAAACTTTAAAGAAATAAATATTTTGTACTTGTATCGTAATCCAATATAAAAGACCATTTTATTATTTTATCGATGAACGCATTTTGTAGTTCTTATATTCTTATCGCGGCATTCAGTACCTTTATAAAGTTTATGTTAAAGAGTATGTATTTAGGTACCTATATAGATGGTCCTATATATTGTGTAAAAAGATGCAAAACAAAAATGTTTGTCATTGTGCTAAAAACGTAATTTCCTTACTAGGGATTATATTTCAACATTCCTTTAGGTAATATTCACAGAAATATATATATGAAATATAAAACGCATTAACTTTATTTACAAATATAACGGTTAGGGGTAACATGGCAGTGTAGGCCCACCTCTTTGTAGTTCTGACCGGTGTCGGGGAGTAGCATAAAGTGTGGGGAACATCAGTCTGGTAATAGGTACGATTTTCACATCCACTTACAAAGGCTGGCGATTTCCTATAATGAGAGAGGTCAACTTCCGTGGTCGGAGTTGCTTTTTTTAATAAATTGATATCCGTTAAATTGTACTACATGGGTATTGTTTCCGGGTAACGAAAGAACGAGACCTAATAAAGGGAGTGGCTAAAAAGTTGAAGGTGCTTAAGTTTTTTTATAATTAAACAAATTGCTCTTACTTCAATTAAACAAATCGGTAAAAATAATGCAAATTCTGAGTACTAACAAACAGAGTACAAATATTTGGAATTTTTAAAATCAATATAATAATTTCAAATCGAATATCAAATTCAAATACGTAACTAAACATAGATATTTTCAAGAATACGTCACATGTAATACTAGGTATATTCCTTAGGAATTTTTCCCATGTTCACTCAAGTGAATTAAAATTCGCAGAGCAGATTCCCCGTATCCCATATTCATTTTATAGATTATCAGTTTAAATAAAACTAGTTTTTACGGAATTTATCGCATATATTAACTTATTTTATATTCCCTACGTTTCGAGTACTTTACAGTATACATGGTCACGAGGGGACTGAGGATAGATATTATACTATATAGGACAGGACTGAGGTTGAGGTGTTTGACGTCCCAATGTCATAGTTAACCACGCCTACCTCCAGATTAAAATTATTAATTTTTGTTCCGATCTACGCAGTACAATAATTTTAATCTGGAGGTAGCCGTGGTAAACTATGACATTAGGACGTCAAACACCTTAGTCCCGTGACCGTAGGTGCTGTTAGGTTAACTCGAAACATCGGGAATATAAAATAAGTTAGTATACGAGATAAAATCCGTATAAACTAGTTTTATTTAAATGTTTAGTGCTCGTAAATATTAGAAATCAGTAGATTCCACCTCTTGTTTCATTTCCCTAGTCACCCCTTATGATACCCGCGGGATGACAATATACGGTAGTGGATTCCCTTATGATGCCACCACACGAAAACGAAACTTCTTATCACAACAAAAGCAGCCCCAAGTAACAAGTAATATTTTATCACAAATGTTGGCGTCAACCGGAATTTGAACCCAGAACCCGCGACCTCGTAACCCTAGATGATTTTCAAGGTCAAACCTATTTCAATTAAGCTTGTATAAAACTCTTCTTTTAAGAACATTAAAATCGGGTTTGGAAAACAAGACCTCCCCAGAGAAAAATCACCAAGAAACTAGATTTTTATATGGTCATGTTACAAATCAAATGTTCAAGATTATTTTAGTTTTCAATTTTAACAATTTACCAGTAACCAGGAGACTTGCACGTGCTTTTAGAGTTAGAATGGAGTTTGTCAGGTATGTACTTTGACAACACGTGGTTGTTTCCATAGCAGTATTTTTTTTTTAAATAAATAGGGCTTAATTAAAGAATTCTCGAATAAAACAGAAGATTTTACGTAACACTTAATCCATTTAGTATTGTGATGATGATGATGCTAGTGTTGATATCTTGATAATTTCAATGAATTCATTTTTGTCAATTTTGTGACATATCTAATACCTACCAAATTTTTAGTTACCCATCACTTCATTAGGTCACGTTCATCTTTAGTAAAATATTTAATGCAATGCAATGCAATACAATCAATGGGTGATTTTTTAAAAAGGTACACCTGATCCCTATTTAAATGTACATACTAGGCCCCTAACCTAATATAATTAAGATATTAAAAAGTAGGCAATAAATTAACTAAGAAATCTTTTTCCAGACCCTTCTTTGCTTTTTCTATAAATATTTTGTTTTAAAAATATTAACAATTATAAATACTTAAAGAAATTTACGATCTGAACTTCATAATAAGTGTTCATAGTAACTCTGTTGTGAACTCTTAATTTTCACAAAAAGATACTTGAAAAAATTATACTATATATATACCTAACTTATATTCTGTAACAAAAAGCTATGTAAATAAGTTAAATCCTGTTAAATTTATTACATTCTATTTTACTATCATGTAAGTGTTATAGTATTAATACTTTTTAGTATATAATTATTGTGTTCCTCAAAAGAAGACAAGGTGTAAGTAGTAATGCGAATATATAAATTGTAGCTTGATGTTAGAATTGCATTCTTTATTTTTTAACTTGACTTGAATACT